TATGTAGATGCATTTACAGTGGAAATTTAGTTGGACTAGGAAAGATACTTTTAAATATATTAGCTGAATGCAAAACTTACATTTTAAAGTGTCTATTACAAAAGTCTAGTTTGTATAATCGTCGTTTAAGTATCTAAAACAATCAACCAGATATCTGGTACTACTCTCGTACTTTTGTAGAAAAAAAGCTGAACAGTTCAATATATACGTGCTGAAAGTTAAAAACATTGTTTTCATTTTCTGTACAGTACAGACAGAACTTTTAATGCTATTACTCGGGTGGTCTGTAAAATTAGACACGCCCTCTAGATCTTTACCAATATCATCAGCAACTGTAGGGAAAAAATCATTCAAAACATCACACACTTCACTCTGTTTGGATACAATGCATTCGTTTTCTTCTAAAATAATTTTCAGGTCATTTGTAAGATAAAAAGGGTTTAAATCTTTAGATGTCCCATGTGCGAAGCCTAACTTAACGTTAGGCCTAATTACCATTCACCAACAACATTTCTGGCCGAGGTATGCCGAGTTAGGTTATGCAGGTCTATGTAAACAGTGGCGGTTCCAGAGGGTTTTTTGGGCTAACAGGAAACCCCCTACCCTGAATATGTATTTTCACCATTTTCCTCAATTTTTCCCCACATGGAAACCCCCCCAGGAAATTTGGAAACCCCCCAGATAGGTGTCTGGATCCGCCACTGGTAAATGTCTGGTTAAAATCAAGGATGGTAGGACTTGGTTCTGACGAAACCATGGACGCACAGAATGTATTCCGGATTATGTCAGCTGTCGTTCGTTTTTAATAAATGATAACCATGTCATATTTCCGGTGTGATGTTTTTGACTTGTTTCGTTTGATATGGAGGTAGGTTTAAATGACATTTGTTTAGAAACTAAAATGGTAATAGAAAATTTCGATATATGAATGCACATTTCACATAACAAATGAATCATCTAGTCTGATGCTCGCAGAACAAACAGCACAGCCGTGATCGCCTCACACGGTCGTCTGCACAGAAAACTGCATACCACGTGCACCTCTGGTGTTGTCGCAGATGAGTTCATCTGTTAATTGGGTCACTGAAAAACGAAGGAATACATATTATATCACAGTAACATAATTTGACTACGTTGGAAGCAATGCTCAACAGACCTGCTGCTGCAAACACAGTGTAGGCAATCACGTGACTTAAGTTGGTGAATCCACGAATTTTGAGCCGATTGGACATCTAACGTTGTGTGCCACAAAGCCGATTTTGACCCGATGTAGATGCTCCGAAAATAGACACCTTTTTATTCTTTTCGAAAGTTATTGTTATTGAAACTCTATCTAGATTTGATGAATCTGTTAACTTTGGTTTATATTTTCGTCTTTAAAAACAGAAATTATATCTAGATTTGATGAATCTGTAATTTTTGGTTTATAATATGAAAAGGCAAAGCCTCATAAGAACGTAGCATTTGCTGATCTCTGATATTTACTGATTCAGAATACAACTTTTAGAATGTGATAAGATAAACTTTATTTGAAGTCGGCTAGTCGAGGAATAACAATAAAACACAAGCTCTAATGAGATTAAGACAGACATAACAATAGGGAGACATGGGCTGCCCTTTTTTTTTTTTTTTTATTAAAGTCCGTTCAAGGAAGTATGGCAGCACATCCATTTTGAACTATTCCTGTCGGAAGATCGGATGGCAGAACGAGCCCGCTATGGGGCATTGCCAGGGTGGGGGGGTTTCCTGAAGCCCCAAAAAACTCTTTCGATCCGCCACTGGGCAAGTTCGGATGGGCATTCGGTTAAGTTTGGCCCCCATTGGAATCAGCTTAATTATGCCATCATAAAGCATGCACCGTCAGATTTTACCGCCAATTTTACGACTTTTTATGTGTTAACTACATAGGCCGACCTTGCCACAGTATTCATTAGTCGAACCTGCATGTTCAGGCCACAATTGATATTTCAATAAATTCTTATCGTACAGCAATATGGTAGTGAGTGATTGGCTTGGATTTTATGTATTATTATTTGAAGCTGGGCTTGGATTTTATGTATTATTATTTGAAGCTGTCAGTGTGTTACAGGTTTGACTGTAAAAAAGTAGCAATTCTGTTTCAAAAAATTTGCATATAACTAGAAGCGAGATCATGATTTTCTTTCGACCCTCTCAAAAGTAATTTTTTCCTAATAAGTCGTTTTACATTAGAGTTTTCCTTGCCATTTTTTCGTTGTTGAATGCCCAACCAACAAAACTGCTAAGATAATTAAAGTTGTAAATATTAGCTCAAAAACAAAAAATATCAGGGTTGGCCTAACTTGCCCCGGTCTTCCATATGTAGACTTTTTATATCATTGATGATTGGTAAAAATGTATTCACAATATGTGCGCTCGTCTTCACCAAGATGACCAGATTCTATCCCGGTCACCTGCCCGACCACGCGGGTTTTCTCCTGATACTCCAGCTCCCTCCCAAGAATTAAACCCTCTGCGTTCTTCTGTCAGGGCACAAAAAGAATGATTGAGATAAGTTAGGGGGGGGGGGGGGGGGGGGGAGGTTGAATGTTTGGTAATTGCTTATTTAGTAAAAAAAGTGCATTATACATATTTGACGATTAGTCTTAAGTAAATGTATAGAGATATTAATTAAAATAATGAAATTAAAAAAAGAAAACATTGTAATACTTTGATGTAACTGAAAACTGAAATTGTCTGTATGTCGATATGTAGTCTCCATTACTGTTCCATCCTGAAATACCGGATTGAATTTCAAATTTTGTGACTGTAACCGAGGTTTGACAGGTAATGATGCCAAATAAAATTACAGTTTCTGTCTGTAATTAGTTATAAATCCGCACGCATTGTGAAAAAGTAATATGTTACTGGAAAAGGGCGTTGTACTTGGGTTGGTTGTCTGGAAAATTATTTTTAATTTCGTCATAAATGCATTTTCCATTGCTTCTTTTAATTATTAGTGGTGATGCATAAATAATATAAAGACTAGATCCAGACTTTCAAAACTGTTAATTATTTCGTTCATATTCTCATTAAATGATCTCTATTTGAAGATATCTCCCGGTAGAAACATCAACGGAACCAGGTTGATGACAAAAAAGATCTTCAGAAAATATCCGCATTTTTATACGCCCGTCAAATTTGACGGGAGTATTATGGTATATTATTGCATATGGTAAAAATGCGGAATTGCCTTTCGTTACTTCACTTGTATTCGTTTCGTATAATACATACATCCGCATTTTGTATCAACCGAAACCGCCATATTTGAAAGCTAGTAAAATGAAGCTAGCAGAGTGTTTTTCGTGATAAATTATTATTAACATGCTATGTTATAGTGTTTGGAGCATTCAAATGGGGGTAATTAATACCTAAACTGTGAGTACACCTAGTACACATCGAGTTTTGAGTCAAAACAGAGATATAATTGAATCCTTCCTTCCGCCTAGATTTCAGAAACAGGTTTTTTCTCATCATGCAGTCGGCACAATTACATCAGATAATAAATTGACTGGCCTCTTATGTTACACGAATAGGTCATTTAAACCGATATTCGATTATCGATTGATTATTGAGTTCCGATTATCGATCTTGAATATTTGACCGATTCCCAGCACTACTGTTAGTATCACATGTGATAGACTTTTTCATTCAGAATGTATATTATTTTTTATCAAATAAACAAGTAAGAAAACATAAAGATTGTATTCACGATATTCATTTATGGGTTGCAACACAATTGTCTTTACTTCAAGGATACACTTTCTGTTCCCCCACTGGACGTCTACTTCCGGATGGAAAAAGTAAAAAGCAATGTGTAGCAATTTTAAGGGGAAGCAACTCTGTTTACGCACGCATGTGTTACCATTAAAGAGCTTTGCTCGAGCGCCTTACGCACCTGAGAGCCGCGCTCTTATAATTTACGTCTTTAACTACAGAAAAAATAACATATATCAACGCGGCCGGTACCGTTATTTATTGTGGTGATTACCTTGATCATGTTTCTCAAAAAGTTAGGACACTGCGAGGGAGTGAAGCAAGAATAACATCAGAAATAAATACCAGTTACAATAATACCAAAGTGTAGACTGAATTGACTGAATCACTCCTCATTCAGAGTTTAACTCTGGTAGAGCTATAGACTCAGAGGTGCGCTGCGGGTAAGGCTAAAAAAACCAAGGGGCATTATTTACAATAAAAGTTAAAAACATCACTATTGCTTAGTTGCATGTGTGGGTTAGCTGGCTCATGGTGTAGGCGTCTAGCTTCACCTTGAAGGACTCTAATGGTGGTAAAAACAAGGCAACCACTGATGGTAGTCTATTCCTGTCTCCTGTTGTCCTAGGATAGAAGGAGTAACGATATGCATCTATCCTGGTGTGCGGTAGACAGAACGTATGGCTCCCTCTGGTCCTTTGATCACTTGTGGTCAAATACAGGTCTGCTGGAACAGCCACCAGTGTATGTTGGATTTTGAACAGAAGAACTAGCCTGATCTTAAGCCGTCTGATCTGTAATGTCTCCCAGTGAAGATCTTGAATCATCTGGGTTACGCTACCTGGATGTCGGTCTTGGTAGTTCCTGGTGACAAGTTGCATGGATATGCTTGGAAGTCCAGCAGGGGTCCCATGCTGAACAGGCATATTCACGGTAGGTCGTACAGGCCTTTGATATGCTTGGAAGTCCAGGGGCGCCATGCTGAACAGGCATATTCACGGTAGGTCGTACATGCCCTTGATATGCTGCAGCCCTAGCTGATGTCCGGCAACCCATCATGTTTCTCCTGATGAAACCCAGCGTCCTATTTGCCTTGGATGTTACATTATTGATGTGTTTGTCCCATCGAAGATCTTTGCTAATGGTTACTCCCAGGTATTTTGTAGAGTCAACCACATAAAGTATGTGTCCATGTATGGTGTAGTTTGCGGTGATGGTATTTCGCTTGTTGGTTATCTGTATAACCACACACTTCTCTGGGTGAAATGCCATCTGCCATTCCTCCTCCCATTGAACATCCAGGTCCTTTTGTAGGCTGTCCCTGTCCTGCGCTGCGGACTGTAAAGGAGGCAATCATCCGCAAACAGGCGTGCAACAAATGTTGTCCTCTCTGGCAGATCATTAATGTAGAGGAGAGATAGCAGAGGTTCGAGCACTGTCCCCTGGGGTACTCCGGAGAGTACAGGCGCTGTCGATGACTTGTGGCCCTCCAGGAGCACTTGCTGAGTCCTGCTCTAAATCCACATGTGATATTACAAGGTGATAGACATAACATAAAAGCGAACTGACATTGGTCTGAATCATTGGGAACCTCAATACTAAAATGTCTTCCAATGTTTTACTTCACTTACAATTGGTGTGGACTTGTGATAATGAACAAACATGACGCTGCTAAATAAGTTACATTGAATGTGTGTATACACTGTCCATTTCCATTCAGTGGACTTTGTTCAGTTACAGTCTTCTACTTAACATCGCAGAAATAATGAGACCAACTTAATGCTGAATCCATTTATTTTAGTGGTCATTTCGATCTAACAACGTTTATGATGCAGTGACCAAACATTTTGGCTCTAGACTTGTATGTCTTAAAACAACATCTGTAGTATGCAGCCTATATTTGTTGTAACTTTATGAAGTAATGAATTTACCCATCTCAATATTCTGAAATGACGAAATTCCAAGATTCCAAATTTCCAATGTCATTCCGCTTTGTGACATCATGGCTATAATGATGACGTCACTCACTAATTCCATTCATGCAACATGTTTAGTGTTCCCCAATCTCGAGAGCTGGTATCGCATAAGTATAAGGTTGAACGTTTAATGTTTTAGGTACAGTTACACGATTAACAGTACAAACTAATGTATATATCCAGGACAAATTCTCAATTACAATCAACAAACCAATAAATATACAACAATATTCAGATCATACATCACCCTATAGCTGTACACTACACTATACTTATACTCGGACAAACCGCAGATTACACGTTTTTTTTTAGCCTTGAAAATGCCTTTTTTGCGGGCTACATGACAACATGAGAATTATGTCTTTCATTTTTTCTTGATTGCACATAAATGCCAGATGTACATAAATAAAGAAACAAAAAAAAATATTGTACAATTTTATTACTAGAAACAACTCAAAATCCAATCAAAGTTGAATGTAAGACACTATATCATATACACTTAGGTGTTTTATTTTGACCATACAGAGATAGATGGACCGGTTCATACTGTAATTCCTCCAGGAAAATTAACCGAATGAGCTATTTGTTAACAATTTTTATGAATGATATATTTAAGCCTAATGCGGCTATCCAGGTGTGGGTAGTATGTGGTACAGTAAAACCCTGTTGTAATGCTTACTTTACGGACGTTCTGGTTGTTGCACATAAACGAACAGGACCCAGGCTGAGCTTGATCTCGATTCTGATTGCTGCCTTAGCTCACAGTGAGACAATTCGCAGATATAAACCCAACTCACACCCATTGAAGTTGTCGCAGACTATGACATTACCAAAACTGTCACCACACACACAAACTCGCACAATGATGACGGCGATAACATTTTGAATTTTGTTCAGTCGATCGGACCATGGATTTGGATTAGAAGTCTGTGATCGGACAAAACACGGCAAGACAAGCGACCATCGGTGATTCTTTCCAGCATCACATTTAGTGTGTTACATTGACAGGTTATGTAAGTACATTCTTGTACTGTGATGTAAAATTCTGCATTGACAATGTCGGGATATCACTGCATTAATTAAACATAGATCTATATCGTGATTATGTTTTGCATGCTCAATAATTTGATATATTAAATTACAATTTAAAAAAAAATCATTCTGAACTTCATTATTATCTTTTTAAAGGATAAGTTCAGTTGGTGTGTGAACACTTGGGTTCAAAATGTAAACCTGATATACTGCCAAACTTGGTATACCGCCAAAATCACGGAGGACAGAATGTGGCGGTATAACAAGTTTTTACTGTATATAGAATATGGTCGCCATCTCGTATCCTGTTCAATTGAACTCCCTGTTAGCTCACTTGGAATAGCGAAAGACTCGGGAGCCTGGTTCCTTTCCCGGTGGAGGCACACCTTTGATTATAGGCTTATATGCCTGGTGACGTCAACTATGAAATGGTAATGTCATAATTTCATAAAAAATAAAATCATCTGTGAAATGAAATGATGATGTCATGAGTACATGTATATTAGCACACCAATGAACTTGTGCCACAATACCCCTAGTACTGATCCCTAGGGTTCTTGTAAAGTACTGACCACTGAGTGTTGAACCAAAATTGGTACAAGTCCAGTAATGACCACTAGCATGGAATTAGATTAGAGAGATATTATCTAAGTCTGTGCCACTAGGTATAGAACCAGCTAGAGTCTGTTACAATTGATTCAAGAACTGACCACTAGGTGTAAGACCAGAGACTGTTACAAGTCCAGTACTGACCACTAGGTATAGAAAAAGAGTCTGTTTTAAGTCCAGTTCTGACCCCTAGGTGTAGAACCAGCGACTGTTACAAATCCAGAACTGACCACTATGTTTAGAACAAGAATCTGTTAAAAGTGTTAAAAGTCCAGTTTGACCAGTAGGTAAAGAGCCAGAGACTTACAATTCCAGTACTGACCACTAGGTATAGAACCAGAGTCTGTTATTAGTCCAGTATGAACCGCTAGGTGTAGAACCAGAAACTGTAACAATTGCAGTACTGACCCCTAGGTGTAGACCCAGAGACATGATTGATTAATTGATTGATAGGTTTTACGTCCACTTCACTACCGAGTAGTTCGGTTATCCAGCAGACGAAGAAAAGGCGGGAAAATGAGTGGAAGGGATCAAGTATGTAGTGAAGGGATAGAAGAGGGAGACAGAGGAGAGAAGGAGCCGCCTGTCCTATATGTATTTACTGTATAAGTCTAGTTTTTGTAAGACGGCTCCTAGGTCTAATGTTGCCTTACCCTAACACTAGTCGTGTAGCAGCACCAAGTCCGCACCAGTAGTGAGGTAGAAAGCCGCCAACATTAACACCAGCTCCTAACTATTCTATAAATTTGGTTTGTATAATATATAATTTTAAAGTCCTTCTAAATGTCTTAATAAAGATCTAGACCCTAGTAATAATGCTTACCCTATCCTCTGTGCTGGCATGTACGCACTCACTCTTTTTAGAAAAACTAAAAGGGATCTTTTTCGTGGGAGATTGGACAGTTCTCACATGGGCCACCATTTATAGTCCCATCCGACCAGAGACATATATTACAGAGATTAGCAACTCGCGCAGATCTCGCAAAAACACACATGCTCATATTGTTCAGGCAGTGGAATATGATACGCCGCGAGACTTGGGTTGCGGCTGCACAATCACGTGGAACCCGGTGTCATGCATAAAAAGTACCCCCCTACCAAAAAGTATCCGGATACTTTTTATACCTGCATAAAATGTACCCCCCCTGCATAAAAAGTACCCCCCTTGTGATAAAAAAAATATTTAACTATTTTCAAACCAATTGAGTTCAGAATTTGATCAGGATGTAACAGTTGAATATTTATCCACCCCTACCCAAACAATCCCCACCCCCGGGGCCAGGAAATGATGCCAAAATATTTTTTAAACACTGGTTTGGAGAGTCATGAAGAAACATTTACAGTTATGTTATAGTCATTACCCAACCTATATTCAATTCCCCAC